CATTAAGGGGGACCCTGGGCAGGAACACTGGTGAGGGCACAGGAAAGAAAACATGGTCAAGAAGAGAACTGTCAAGAGAGAATCAGCAAACAGCTAGAAGAGCCCAATGTCACGTGTCTTAGTGATACTGTAACTAAGCTGCTAATTTTGCACTTACTTTCTTCAGGAAGGGTGTGTTCTCTAGCACCGCTGGGCACATTGGAGTTCTGACAGGGTCTACCCACAGTTACGGGAAATAACCTAGAGTTATCTCCTCTTGAGACTCCAGACTCCAAATATCCCCAAAGCACCTTCTGACCAACTGCTATAAAACCAGGGCTTGCCCATCTCCCTCCAGTTCTCCAAAGCTCCTGAATGCCTCACAGGATTAAGGAAATTGCTGCTCTACAGGAGTGTTAGAACAAAACTCAGGACCAAGGGCAGCTAGCCATGCCTGGCAGAAGGCCTGGAGAATCCTAAACACACACCTGCCAAGCCTCAGACGCACCCGGCTCAGAGCATCAGGGTGGCATAGAATCTACCAGGGAAGTGTGAGCGGACCCTGGGCTGGGGTTTTACTGGGGCTTTATTTTTTGGGCTTCATTATTTGGCCCATTTGATTGACATAGGACTGAAGTCAATCTGCAGTCCCCTTCCCCTCTTCAAATGGGAGGTAGAGCCGATATCACATAGCTCAAAGCCCATCTCTAATCATTACTGGTCTTTTTAGCTCCATTTAGAGCATAGGGCCCACAGTGTGTCACTCGCTCCTCAGGCGTGGTGAACCCATTAGTCTACACCCTGAATAATACGAAATTCCTCACATTGAGAAATCCCAAGGGTTTAGAAAGAAGGCTTCTCTGAAGGAACCCAAACCAAATACCAGACCAAATCTAGATGGCTGGACCATCTGCTTCCTTTGACAAGACTCTGAGGTTCCTGTGCTCCACCTGGTTACTTTAGAGAGAGAAAGCAGGGCATTGGCATGAATGGATCTTAAGCCTCCATGGGGAAGAGGGGAGGGTACAACCTCAGAGGTACAACCCCTGCCTCCTGCTCTGAACTTGCACCATGCACTCTGCAACTCTGTGTGCTTCAGTGGTGTCCTGGGGGAAGGGGAACCATGTCAGACTAAAGATCACCATTCTCTCCACTTTATAACAGCCACAGTCATCCTACAGGCAAAGCTGCCCTTGACCTGAGGAACACAGGGCCCTCAGGGATCCTCTGCAATGTCCAAGGAAATACTCCTCTGCTCCCCTTTTCTCTTCCAGAGAGGAAGGAAAAAGGTGAATTGAGACAGAAAACTGGGCTGGAGTATGGTGATATTTTATTTGTGCCGAAATGTGATTTTATTTGTATGTTAATAAATAAAGGTGCCTGGGGGTCAGAGCTAATAACAAGCCATTTAGCAGAAGTCTGGCAGTGGTAGCACACACCTTTAATCCCGATCACATGACAGGCAGATCTCTGTGTGTTCAAGGATACCACCAGCACGGAGACATACGCCTTTAATCTCATTACAACCATAGAAGACCTGGAGGTCTGTATAGACAGGCAATGACAAGGAGGTCATGTGGTTGGGTTTAGAACCAATGAGAAGGCAGAACAGAAAGTCAATAAAAAGACAGACACACAGGAAATAGGTCTCTTTCTCAGGGGAAGGATGGCAGCGGCAGCAAGGGGTAAGAAGGCGGTCTTGGTCTCAGCTCTTAGCTACTGCTCTGACCTCTTGGGCTTTTAACTCTGCATTTGGCTCTGTGTTTCTTATTTAATAAAACCGTTCAGAACTACATCTACACTGGAGAGATGGCTCAGTGGTTAAGAGCACTTGCTGTTTTTCTGAAGAACCTGAGTTGGGTTTCCACTACAAGAAGCTTACAACCCATCACTCCAGCTCCAGGGATATCTAGCTCCCTGTTATGGCCTCTACGAGCACTGCACCCCAGTGCATATGTATACAGACACATACACATACATACATACATACTACACACACAGATGCACATACATACATACACACATATAGACACACATACATACACACAGAGACACAGAGACATACAGACATACAGACACACACACAGATACACACACATACACATATACAGAGACACACATACACATGCACACAGAGACCACACAGACACATATACATACACACACACATACACATATACACACAGAGAGACAAATAGATACACACAGAGACAAACAGATCACACACATATACACAGGCACATACATACACACATAGAGACACACGTACATACCCACATACACAGAGACAAACAGATACATACACATACACACAGAGACACATATACACACAGACATATATATACATACACAGAGAGAGACACACACAGACACAAGGACACACATAAATATAGACACAAACACACACAGACACACAGACACACACACACACACACACACACACACACACACACACACACACACACACATCTTTTAAAAAGACAGGAACCAAGCAGACTTCCCATGCAAAGAGTGCAGCCCCATGTTTAATTCTTCAGCCCTACTTCGCAAGCCAGGCAAAGTCTACATGTTATAGACAAACAGCTCATAGGCAAAGTCTGCATGTTATAGACAGCTCACTGGCAAAGTCTGCATGTTATAGACAGCTCACAGGCAAAGTCTGCATGTCATAGACAGACAGCTCACAGGCAAAGTCTGCATGTTATAGACAGCTCACAGGCAAAAAGTCTGCATGTTATAGACAGCTCACAGGCAAAGTCTGCATGTTACAGACAGCTCACAGGCAAAGTCTGCATGTTATAGACAGCTTACAGGCAAAGTCTGCATGTTATAGACAGCTCACTGGCAAAGTCTGCATGTTATAGACAGCTCACAGGCAAAGTCTGCATGTTATAGACAGCTCACAGGCAAAGTCTACATATTATAGACAGCTCACAGAGCAGAGGCAGAACACTGAAACCAGTGATGGAAAATGACATCGGACAACAGTGGGTTTATGGAGGGCTTGGATGAGGACAGTCCCTAGAAGGTTCTTGTGCTGTGTGTGTGTGTGTGTGTGGTCCCAAGATGGTGGATCAAACCTGTGAGGGGTGTTCATGCCTCGAGGGCTCTGACCTAAGCACGGATTTTCCATCACTTCACTAGTTATAGGGAGGTGGAGTCTAGCTGGAGAACAGATCACAGAGCACGGGGCTCTCGGGGTTCCATCTGGTCCTGGGCTCCTCTGCCTGACTCCCTGCTTCCCGCAAATGAGGCGGCAGCTCTGCCATAATGCTCTGCCTCATCACAGGCCCAGAAACCACAGAGCCAGCCAACCACAGACTGGAACTGTGAGCTACAACCTTCCTTCCTGCCTTCTCTACTCTCAAGCATGGTGTCACAGTGCCTGAAAAGTGACTGACAGATCAGAGTAAGAGACTAAAGGTGAAACGTTGAGAATGTTTAGATCAGGAGTCCTGAGCAGGCCTCCTTGACAACGTAATGTCTCGGCAGACGCTGAAGGCACAGAGGCCATCGGCAGCGGCAAGTCTGGTCTGTGAAGAAGCAAGGGTTCCAGGGTGCTGGGTGGAAAGGACAGCCTAGACATCAGCGTGGGAGGCAGGAGTCCAGGACTTTGCAGGCAGAAGCCACATCTTATCAGCGGGAGGAGACACACTACCATTCCTTTGGCATGACCAAACATTCCTCAGTCCTCATAAAGAGGAATGGCTAGACTGAAAGTCTGGAAAAAATAAGAGTGGGGCTGCAAAGGAAAATAGAAAGATACTTGTCAATAAAAACCGACTGCTTTTGAAGGCAATTCTATTATTTCCTTCAGGGACAAACTTGTAGAAAAACCCCACAATCCAATTCTTGGTTCCTCTCCTTTCCTGTTCTTCCTATACAGCCAGACTGAGGTCTAGACTTATCTATGAGACCATGATCACAATCTCTGCCTCCAGTGCTTTCTTAATTTAATATAGAAATTTCATTTTTTAAAAAATCATTTTCCCCATAGAGACTTTACTGCCTTCAATTCTTTTTTCCTTGCCTGTGTGTCCATCACAGAATGTCTGGGTACCTTAATCAAATATCCCAGGCCATCTTCACTCTTGTCTAGAGTATACAGAAAGCAGTATGACCCTGCAGAGAGAGAGACCTCAAAGGGGTCAGATCAGCAGGAAGAGACCCAAGATGAACAACATTTCAGCGTTCTCGAGTACAGGGCATGGAAGCTAACGCTTGCACATTCTCAGAGTTGGAAGAATTCTATGACTAAAGATGAGAACTACTGGTAAAAAATCTCACATTTTCAAGCATTAAAGCATTGCAGGTCCCCACAGCCACACATATTAACATATTCTATTTTTTAGCTCTGACATTTAAACCACCCACTTCACTCTTATGATTTATGTTAGTATCAGAAGCATTCAGTAAAACTTTAGAGCAAGTAATGATCTAATAGCCTAAACATGGAAAGGAAAACCCCGAGTGTAAGGTCCTGCAACCAGCCTAACTTTCTCCATCTTCAGTCCTGAAGACCACGGGTTCTTTGTTGAGTCAGGCTCCACTTACCGACTGAATGGAAACTTCCACAGGAACCTCTTCCCGAGAGGAAAGGGGAAAAGGATAAAATGAAAACACGAAGTACCTTTTAAATCAATCAAGGCAATTTTTCAAGGGGGAGTTATGGGTACTGTGGCCTTTGGTTCTGTGTCAGTTCAGTATCTGCAGAGAAGCTTAATGCATTCCTCCTGATTTCAGAGGTCATGCCCAGGGAGGGAAATGACATTACGTCCTTTACAGGAACATGGATGCAACTGGAGACCAGAAAAGACAAATATCAGATGTTTCCTCTTGTATGTGGAACTTGGATTTTATATAGATATAAAACCATATATATATATATATATACACACATATATATATGTATATATATATAAAATACACATATGCATATACACACAAATATATAACATGAAGGTATCTGTATATTTACTATGTAGAGAAGCAGTAGGAACTAGTGGGAGGGGCAGCCAGAAGAAAGGGGAGGGTATGGGCTGAATACGGTGAAAGTACAGGATGTACTTAAGTGAAAACAGTCTGTGTTAAGTCCCCCTCCCCCATTATGTACACTGATGAACACCAATAAAAAAAAAGTTAAGGATAAAAACAAGCAGAATCAAAAGAACGTGAAGACTGCAGAGTAAGTTTTCACATGCTTAGTTTTTTTTCTACTATTGTCTAAATATATTCCTGCATGTCCTTGCTCACGAGCAGAGGTGACTATTTGCAACACGTAGGAAGAACCCCCAAGAATAATCCAGAGAAAAAATATTTACAATAGCCACATGAGAGGTCACCATTACTTGTCTACAAGTCTGATGCTTGGGTTTGGAAGCCAGCAGGGCAGCCAGTGGGGAGAGAGGGCAGTGCAGAGGAAAGCCAGGATGAGCAAGAATCACAGACAACACGCTACATTGCTCTCTCTCTCTCTCTGCCTCTGAGGCCCCACCTTAACAAGGCAAACTTGCAGAAGGCCTGACTCTTCCACTCTAGCTGCTCACACCTGTGCTGGCATTCCCAGCCACCAAGGAAGAGCTCAGGGGAGACTGGAGGCCTGTGACCTGAGCTACTGCAGTCCCCACCAGGAGCAGGCAGCACTTCCTGCTCAATCTACATGAGACTCTGGATCTCAGTCTAATCATGGCCACTTCCCTCCCACCTTCCAAACCTCTCAGAACTGTCTCCTGGGGTCAGCCCTAATGCAGAGCCACCCTGGGAAGAGGGATCTAGAGACAGTCACAACAGAGTGAAAGTGATGGAGTATACAATCCTGTCACACCTTGTTTCACTGCTGTAGGCTCTGCAACTAGTATCATCTGGTCACCTTGTCCTCAGTCAACTTCACCTTTTATGTGAGAAGCATGATAAGGCTCTTTACTATACAGGTATATGTTGTTGGTTGTTTTTACTCTGTGGTCTTTTGGGGAGGCCTGCCACCCAGCTCCCACATAAATCACACAAGGAGGCTTATTCTTCATTATAAATGCCCGGCCTTAGCTTGGCTTGTTGCTAACCAGCTTTTCTTAACTTAAATTTTCCCATCTACCTTTTGCTTCTGGGCTTTTTTTCTTTTCTAACTTCTGTATATCTTACTTTCACTCTTACTCCATGATTTGCTATGTGCTGGGTGGCCGGCCCCTAGCATCCTCCTCTCCTTGTTCTCTCATGCCCTTTCTCCCTTTTTTCTCCCAGATTTCTCCTTGTATTTATTCTCTCTGCCTGCCAGCTCCACCTATCCTTTCTCCTGCCTCGCTATTGGCCATTCATATCTTTATTAGACCATCAGGTGTTTTAGATAGGCAAAGTAACACAGCTTCACGGTTAAACAAATGCAACATAAAGAATGCAACACATCCTTGCACCATCAAACAAATGTTTCATAGCACAAACAAATACAACACATCTTAAATTAATATTCCACAGTAGGTACAGCTGTTATTCTTTATATACAAGCACTGGTCCAGCAAAAGAATTATGTATCAATTGATTATGTTTGTTCTTACGGGAGTTTCCATCTCTCAGTATGTGACATACATTTAATATAGAGAGGATATAAACTTACTTTTACTAAGAAAAAGAAAAAGGTTTATATTTTGATTTGGGATTCTATGAGAACAAAAAGTAAGGTACAAAAATAAGAGAAAATGGATAAACCTTGGGACATTTATAGAGCAGACTACCACTCAGAAGTGAAAAGGAACAAACTCTTCATTGCACAGAACCACCTGAATGAAACTCCAGAGAAATGCTGAGACTTTAAAAAAAAAAAGAAGAAGCCAATCTCAATAAAGTGTGCGCTAAGAAATTTTGCTTATATAACATCAAAATGATAAAATTATAGAGATGGAGAATTAGTGGTCAGGGTGGTAGTTTGTGGGTTAAATGTTAGACTTCAGGTGCGTTGCTCTGATGAGGAAGTATAGAGTTCACGTGATGGAGTGTTCTAGACTTTGTAACTATAGTAGAATCTCAGAAATTGACACCTGTCATAAAACTGCAGAGAACTAAACACACATCAAAATAAATAAAATAGCTGGGGGGGGGGGATCCTAAGGATTATATCAATGCTATTTCCTGCACTCAGGACCACTAGCCCAGAGGTAGCTACACCCACAATGGGCTGGGTACTCCCATATCAATCACTAATTACGAAAAAGCCCTTCAGGCTTGCCTACAGCCCCATGTCATGGAGGCATTTTCTCAACTGAAGTTCTCTCCCTCACAGATGACTCTAGCTTGTGCCAAGTCAACACAAAAAACAGTCGGGACACTAGGCCAACGCTTGGTTCATACCAAATGCTCAAAATGGCTCTTTCCATTCCTTTTTGCAGGTTCAGGTTATACAGGTCTAACTAGACATGGCAGCTCACTGAATCTGTAATCTCAACACTGAGGAGGCTGAGGCAGGAGAGCGGCCATGAGTAAAGAACCATCCTGGGCTACATAGTGAATCCCAAGCCAGCCTGGGGTATGGAGTGACAGCCTGTCTCAAGAAACAAACAAACAAAAAACAGGAGGAAGAGGAAAGGAAAGAAAAACTAAGTGTCTGAAGTCTTCAGTCCACGCTACGGCACTAGAACATGGGTTGCACCTCATTGACTACTCAAGAGGTGGCCACTCCGATTGAAACCGACCATGTGAACAGGACTGGTCTGCTTCTCTTCTGGATAAGGTAACTATTCCAAGTCATACCCTGTTGCTCTCTAGACTCACAACTCAATTGGCCCATTAAAAAAGAGGAGGGGACATTGCTGTGTCTCTATTTGCTTTCTATTGCTGTGATGAACACCACAACCAAAAACAACCTAAGGAAAAAAGGGTTTATGTGCCTTACATGTCTGGACCACAGTTCCATCATTTAGGGAAGTCAAAACAGAAACTCATGCAGAGACATGGAGGAACACTGCTTACTCAGCTTGCTGTGACCACCTGCCCAGGAGTGGCACCACCCACAGTGAGCTGGACCCACCCACACCAATCATTAATCAGGAAACTGTCCACACAGGCTTACCTACAACCAGTCTGATGAGAGCATCATATTCTCAATTGAGCTTCCTTCTTCCTAGATGACCCTAGTTTGTGTTAAGCTGACAAAAAAACAAAACAAAACAAACAAACAAAAAACCTAGCCAGCACTCATCTAGCAACCCACACAGCAAAGGGCCATGTCTTAGAAACCAAACTTCTCTGCATAAACAATGAACACCCAAAAGAGGTTGCATATTCCCCCTTCCCCTGCTCTGCCACCCTGCCCATCAACCCCACCAACTCCCCCTTCTTCACTAACTGCCCCCACCAGGGGTTTGAAGTCAAGAGGTGGAGTTTCTACACAGCCTCCCTCCCCTCCTCCTCTGCCCTGGCAGAACTCCTGTTAGGAACTATTGAAAACACTTGGACAGTCAGCACCGTATATACGTACCCCATCCTCCAGCAGGCATTCAACCCAGGCCCTTTAAATGGAAACTGCTCAGGCCAGGGACCAGGGCTGTAAAAAGTCTGCATATGGAGTGCTGTGAGCTTATACAGCTTCATATTAATCAACAGCCTCACCTATTCAATGAAAAAGCCCACCAAGGAAGCATTCCTATTTTTAAGATTAAAAAAAAAAACACTTGGGAAATTAAAAAGGCTGAGAAACTGCAGCTAAGGCTACCTTGGATTGAAAATCAACACAACTTTCCAAAGATAAATGTTTATAAAACATCCGCTTGGGAGTCAGACATGTTATTTTCTCAGTCTCTTTAAAACATTAGTTTATTTGAAAGAATGACGTGAAAAGCCAACTGCCGGGTTTCCTTTTCTAAGTCATGGGGCCACCTCTCCAAAGCCCTGGGCCTGAAGGTCCACGCTGACTGTTACTTTGCCAACTGTTCCCAGAGATCAGTGCCATGAACTACGGCTCAGATGACAAGGATTGGAAAGCAGGTTTCGGGGCTAATACCCTGTGAGCTGTTGTGTCCTACTCACTCACACCAGCTCAAATGCGGAGCCAAGTTACACTGAATGGAGTTCAGCTCTTGGGTTCCAACCCGTTCTTTCCCCAGAATTCTAAATTCAAGCGGATACCCCACCCTGCTAACGCGTACTTTCGGTCCAGATCAACTACTTCACACCAGAAACGCTGTGTCATGATTCCGGAGCCGGGGAAGGGTCTCTGCGACCCCAGGTAGGTGCCTCACCACTTCGCGCATATCGGCATGGGTCCCGGGGGCTGGCCGCAGCGTGACGGACTCGGAGGCTGGGGTTGGAGATGGTCGGGTTAGGGAGACTATCAGCGGCCCAGTACGCAAAGCCTGGTCCCTGACCCCTCTTCCCAGCTTCTACCTGAAACACTCACAGCCTAGCAGCTCCAGGCGCATCCTAGGCCACCTGATCCGGTCCCCTCTACGCCTCATCTGCCCAGCAGTCCAACCTCCCGGGAGAAGCTAACAACTTGGAGCAACGCCACCCTCTGGAACCCTCCGATCGCCAGGAGAAGACCGGGAAGGTTAGGGAAGGGTCGGTGTGAAGTCAGGTCTACCAGCCCTGAATCCTCAGGAACCTAGCAAGGAGAGCGCAGTCTCAGGAGAAACTCAGTTCCAACTCCGCAGCCGGTACCCCAGGAGCCAGGAAGCGCGGGAGAACCTAGGCTTAGCTGAGAGGACCCGGCAGAGCAGGGAGGTCCCTGAGTACCGCGGAGAGAACCCAAGACAGAAAAAACAAAAAACAAACAAACAAACAAACAAAAATAAACAAACAAAAAACCACACAAAAAAAAACAAAAAAACAAAAAACGGTGCAATGCTTGAGAACCGGGGCAGAGCCTTGAGAACCTGGAGCTGATCCTGGTAAGGACCAGAGGCAGAGCCAGGAGGACTCGGGACAGAGCCTGGCACAGCAGGATCAGGGTCAGAACCGGGAGGGTCCAGCCAGAGCGACGAGGTCCTGGGGCAGAGCGCAGAGACCTCGGTCAGAGAGAAGCCGGGGCTTCGCTGACAGAATACTAGACAGAGCCGGGAGGACCTGGAGCCGAGTAGAAAGCACTGAGGATAGAACTAGGAGCACCAAGCATAGAGCCCAGAGGACCTGGGGCAGAGCCAGGAGAACCGAGCTGAGCAAGGAGGGGCAAGTGCAGAACCTAGTAGACCAGGCTGAGCCGGGAGAACACGAGGTAAAGCGAGGAGAACCGGGCTGATGGCAAGAAGATCTAGGGTAGAGCCCGGCGGACAGAGCTGAAGGGGGGAGGGCACCCAAGAGGAGGTACAGATGGATCCGTCAGAAGTGCCCCCGCAGTGCCACCTCTTCTCCGGGGACAGGTGAACAGACCCCAGGGCGCACGGGGCTCACCTGAAGGACAGCACGCACAGCGGCCGATAGGACTTGTGGCTGGTGCTGTCCGCCAGGCCTTTGCCCCAGAAGTCGTTGGCGAAAACGGCCCAGCGCAGCGGGGTCCCGGGCCGCACGTCGGGGTTGTTCACGATCGCCCACACGTCGTCGTGCACAAACTCGCCCCGCAGTGAGCGGCCGTAGCACAAGCAGCTGGCCCCGGCCAGCAGCGCAGCGGCCCCGGCCGGAATCAGCCCGCAGCGCGGGCGCCGCGAGGGCGCGCGCTCCCCGCCGCCGCGGTCCCCGCGGGTCACCAGCATCGCGCCGCCGGCACGGCCGCTCCCGCGCGGCGCGCATCCTCCCCGGCCGGGGCCCGGGCGCGCGGCGGCCTGCGTAGCTCGGGCATCGCGCGCCCACTGTCCCCGCCCGGGCGCCCCGTGCTCCGCCGCCGCGGTGGCCCAGCTGCAAATAAACAGCGGTCCCCCCGCCTCCCCGGGCCATCGCCGCCGCCTCCGCCCACTGCGCATGCCCGCTCGCGCGCCTCCGCCTCCTGGATCCCGGGACCCAAGGTCCCTAACACCTGGCCTCCGCCCGCGGGCGCCGGGTCCCAAGCGACTAGAGCGCGCACAGGTGGAGAGGGGGCGCTGCTGGGCTGGGGGTGGGGGGAGCGACACGCGGGAAAGCCACTCGGGGTCCCTCAGGGTACGCCCAGCTGCTCTCCCAGACCTATCCCCAGTCCATCACAGCTGCGGAGGGACAGGTCTCCGCCGCCTCCTGGCCGCGAGCCGGGATGCTTAGCAGGTGCGCTGTCTGCACCCCAACACCGTCTCTCCCCAGAGAAGCTAGAGATTAGACACCCGCAGAACAGCGCGAGGACACGCTCCAGCGCCCGCAAGGCTTGAAGCCTTACACCGCGTTGCGCCCCAACCCTGGGAACGCACGCAGCCGTCCCTTCCCCGAAGCTGAGGGGTGCATGCCGGGCTGTGGACTACCTCCTTGCAGTGTTTGGCGCTGCTGCTGCTGGTGCTGTGCTGCTGCTGCTGCTGCTACGGTTTACAATAAACCCTGGGTTTGATTTTTTATTTCCATCCGGCTGACTCTTCCTTTTGTTTTTCCTTTAAACTCTTAAGCAATGAGAGGCGCCGAACACATCACTTCTGGCGTTCTTTTGGTTTTGGTTTTGAGACATTGCCTTACTCTGTCGCCCTCTGGCATTGGTTATGGAAGGAGTCAGGCTGTCCTCAAATCATGGAAATCCTCCTGCCTCAGCCTCTCTGGCCCAGCTACTTTACCTGCTGTCTTACTGGATATCTTGGGTGTGACTATTGTCTCCTGGGTAGTGCATGCAAGACTGCCAGCCCTGTTAATACAAATTAAAACTGCAGACCGCCCTGGCATTGCCTCTGACTCAGAAACTTCCTGTCTTTCCCGAAACTGTGCTACTTTTGAATGCCAATCACAATATGTAAATAAATGAGGCATTCCAGAGTAACACCGAATTCCCCTAGTATTGAAAAGCCTGTTAATTCTTTCAGGCCACTTGTGAACTGACATAGCTTTATTACTTAAGTTAACTGAGATTTCCATACATCCAGACCACAAACCTCAAAATAAAGTCACCATTAAAACAGACAGACAAACAACAACAACCAATAAAAAAAAAAAACTTTGGACAAGAAAGAAATTTGAAACGTAAAGGAGAATTTGTTCTTTGAGCCTTCCAATGGCTCCTTAATTTTTAACACCTGAGCACTTAATTCAATAGTTCTCAGATTAACAGGAATGCAGCCCAAGACGTGACAACCCATTTTACCTCTTTTGATGTTTTATTTATTGTTAGTGAATTAAAATTGGTGTCAGAGAAGCAAAGCCGAAATCCTGAGCCCTAGTGATGGCTTTACCAGAATATCTGATCCTCAATGGCTGCTCTAGCCAGACCCCACACACCTGTGTCTTTAGCTTCCTCTGTAGTAATAAAAAAATGGATTTACCTGGTATACACTGTGCTAAGGAAAGGTGGAGGCACAAGGCTGCTCATGTACTCTGTGTGTGTGTGTGTGTGTGTGTGTGTGTGTGTGTGTGTGTGTGAGAGAGAGAGAGAGAGAGAGAGAGAGAGAGAGAGAGAGACCATGTGAGAGAGAGACTGACTTGTATCTGTGTGTATGACGATAGGTGTATTATGTGAGAGACTATGTGTGTGAAACTGTGTGTGAGAGAGAGACAGAGACTGTGTGTGTGGTAGACTCTCTGTGAGAGTCTGTGAGAGAGACTGACTGTGTGTCGGAGCACTAAACAACACAAGAGGGACATTTCCCAACTATAACTGGCTCTCTAGAACAGTAGCAGCAGAGCCCTGCCCTGTAGAAATGGTCGCTGATGAGAGGCCAGTATGTGTGTGATGCACAAGAGCTATCCAGGGACAATACCCTAAACCCAGGAGAGACTCCAAACAGATTCTATGGAAGTTCACTTCCTCACAGCACTCCTGCTACCTTCTCAAGAGGCACGCTGCCCTATCTCAGCCATTTGGGTTTTTAGGTGGAGCAGAATCAGTGCTGTCAGTGATGGTGACCTTGCTGGAGGGTGACTGGAGCTGAACCTGCAGAGAGAGGGAAGAAGCATTCCGGAAGTGATGGTGACCTTGCTGGAGGGTGACTGGAGCTGAACCTGCAGAGAGAGGGAAGAAGCATTCGGGAAGCAGAGACTACCCCCCAGGTTTCGTGACGTTTGCACTCTTTACTTCAAATGTTGGATTTGAGGTCCATTCAAAATCAAAATGGTCCCTAACTTACAAGGTTCAGCCTAGGGCCTTCCAGTTTGTCAGTGATGTGAGAGCCATACACCTCACAGAAACCAAACTTTGAGGGTTGGGTTTGGTATTCCTGAAGCTCCAGGAAGCCCCACTGACACCATGGTGTTCAGGTTAAGCTTGAAGTTCCACAGGTTGGAAGTATTAAATGTGTTTTGATGTATGACATCTTCAACGCCCAACACATTGTTCACAACATATATTGTGAGCCCAGGAGCACCTGTAGGAAGATTCTCCTGGAGTCTCATTTCCTAACCCAATCAGCTCCATGCCGTAGAGTGCCAGTATGAGACAGCACCAGCCATCAGGCTGGCTGATCCTCTCTCAAGGTACAAAACACTCAGCTAATAAAGGGGCCCAAAAGGAAATTAGATTTAATATCTTGCTACTTAGTCTCCAATTATTGTTAAGATCTTGGTAACTACAGGAATACTACCTTCTAAGACATCCGTGTCCACCCAGAGCCATCTAAAACAAACAATCCCAGAAGTGCCCTTGAGGCTCAGACAGAGTCATTCATACACATCTCAAGAACAGAATTCCTGAACACTAGAAATAAATCAAAGGCAAGTCAATATTTTAATAAAACCGATTTCAAATTAACTACAAAGATTCTTTGCTTTGCCAAACCTTAGTGAGACTTCATAAGCTTATCCTAGGACCCTAGATTATATGCACTGCCCTAAAAAATTCAATTTTAGCAAAGAGACCTCTTAAATTTGATAATCATGAATATCTGATCAGGTTTATAGTCACCATTCACTCAGCAATGTCTGACTACCTGGACTACAGAATTATCCTGGCAGATCAGTTCAGATAGAAACTTCTTACAGCTGTTATTTTTCTTGATACTGTGATAAAATACCCGAAAGCTCAACCCAAGGGAGAAAGGGCTTATCTGGGCTCACAATGTGTGGAGATGCAGCACATTAGGCCAGGAAAGGCAGAGAGGTGAAAAAAAAGTGGCAAGATCATGCTCGAATCCAAGATGAGCAGGAAGCGGAGGTAGGATAGCAAGTAGGAAGGCCCGCCCCCATTGGCCCACTTCCTCCGGTATGGCTCCACCTCCTAGAGGTTTCACAATCTGCAGGAACAGCACCAAGCATTCAAATAATTGGGGCGGGGGGGGGGCGGGGGGGGGGGCGAGTATTTTGCATTCAGAGCCCAGCACCTTCTTAACTCTGATATGGTATTTTAGCAATACCCCATCCACTGACACTCCACCCCTCTCCCTGCACACACGCAGTTGGCTCCTGAATATCAGTTCCCACTCCACTCCTGGCTTCATTCAGGGTTGAGCCTGATCCCTTTTTCCACAGCAAGATCTTGTTGCCATGGTTCTATGCCTGTCACCATTATCCCGAATAAAGTCAGCCTGACTGTGTTTTAACAAGTATCATTCAATAATTTGTTTTTCCTTGAATAAGGTCCACTGTGATTTTTTCATCCTAACAATACTCCCTAATCAGGTAGGTTATATACAGGAGATCAAGTGCAATGTTACAAAGGCAGAAATTTAGAAAATGATTGACAACAATACTTTAAAATATTAATTTTTAATGTTTAGTGATTTAAATATTATCTCTTCTTCAAGACAACCCTGTAAGCAGCAGTGCTCCCAGACTTGCCCAATACCTAGCAGTGTGGAGAGCAGTCTGGGATGCCATGTCTGCAGTAGGAGCTGTGGTCTTCCTGAGTCTCAGGCTGGTGGCTGCAGAGATTGCATCCCCAGGAGATAAGATGGACTTTACATGGAAGTAAACTGGCTTCCCTTTCCATCCCTGAGGCTGTACAACAGTTTCACATAGCAAACAGGAACATGTCTCAAAAACATCTGTTATCTTTAACATTCCATCACTTGGACAGCAAACCTTGTCACCCTGCTCCTACAAGACAAAAGTACACATGTGAACATTGCCCTGTACCATGTAGAAGAAAGGAAAATATCTTTTTCCTCCTGTCCTTTTTGGCTTTATCTGGGTCTACACAATAGATTGCAGATTAACAGGAAAGGCTATAAACTGATTTAATATATTATTTGAAAGACCCAGGAGATATACAAAAATGAAGACCCAAAGACAGTTGAGCATGGTATATCTATATTTTTTTCATTATCTTTTATGTGAATAGATGTGTTTTGCCGGCATGAATGTCAGCATACCACGTGCCTGGGACTTGAGTTACAGAGAGTTGTGAGCTGCTATGTGATGCTGGAAATCAAACTCTGGTCCTTGAAAGAACAGCCAGTGGGCACTCTTAACCACTGAACCCCTTTTATACCCCAGCCTGGTGATTTGTTTACTTGTTTGTTTTATTCAGTTTGCTGGAGACTAGAAGATCATGGGATAGAATCATGATAGGATTGATGGTGTGAGTGACGGTAGTAACCAGGGAAACTTGGCAAGGCTGATCTGCCACCGCTTTGCACAGCTCCTAAAACTAGACCTGACTGGGACAGTGAGGGAATGAGGAAAAGACAGACACAAGGACGCACAAAAAAGTTGGTATCAGGTGGGGAGAGCTCTCTGATGGAGAAACCGCAGCACCCTGGAAGCTGAGAGAGTTTAATATATATATATATATATATATATATATATATAGTTGATCAAGGAGGCAGAGTTATTGCATACAGCCTAACAAGAGGTGGGGTTATTATACACAGCTGAACAAGGAGGCAGGTTTAACTAATCTTAGTAGGAGCAGGCTCTGGAGGGGAGCAGACTTTAGGCCATAAATATCTGGGGGGAAGAAAGCTGTGCTGGTCATTTTCTGCACACACTATCAACATTCACATTTGGATCGGGAGGGAAAGCTTTGCAATTTCCCATGGGTCTGAGGCTTTAGGATCCTAGATGTGTGGTGCCCATGTCTGTCAAACCATACACACTCATCAGCACTTCACACACACAGAGGGCTTCCTCTGCTCCCCACACTAATCCAGTCAGGTTCACTCTGGTGCCTCCATGTTTGGAGACTGACACCTCTCCACCTCTTAAGTGCTGGCTGTAACTGCTCAGAGCTTCAGTGTTGTGTTCAGTGACAGTTCAGCACAGTTCCCCAGTGTGAGGCCAGGTCCAGAGGGAGGTGTGAAGTCAATGGGGACATTCCCTCAAGAAGGGGTGGCCCCTGGTCCTTCTCTTCTCTTTTGTTTCTTCCATAAGGTGAGGGTGTTTGTCCCGCCACACACTTCCCACCATGACCAGTCTAAAGCAGTGGGGTCCACTGACTGGGAGCTGCAGCCTGGGAAAGTGTGAGACAAAAATAAACCTTCCTCTTTGAAGTTGATTGTCTCAGACAGGAGCAGTCCTGTGACCAGCTTCAGACAAACGCCCTTCTGTACGTTCAAGTGAAATGCCCAGTGTACTGAGGAGCCATACCGTGGAATGAATGCCCTGATCCCCATCAATGAAAAGACTGACTGAGTTCTCCAGAGAGTTTGGAGTCTCTGCGTTTGAAACTGCTGCCACATACAAGTAAATATCCTCTGTCTTGGAACTTAAATTTAAGTCATTATGCACAACAGAAAAGAACACTGTTTTCACACGAGCAAGTGTTACATGCATACATTTTAATCTTACACTTATAAATCAAAATGCTACTTTTAGTTTCTCATACACCAGCTACAATTTACACAAAATGTCAGAAGCTCTAAAATGCCATTGTATAAATTTACACTTAAAATTAAATCCAGAGTCACACAGAACAAGGTTGTACGAAGAGTGCAATTTATAGGTAAAACTCCTGGGTCAGGTTCATGAGCTCTATACAAACTTTATATTTTGAGATAATTTATCAGACATTTGGCCCAGTGCTGCCGTGGCCTGTAACACATTCTCAACAGCTCTTGTAACCACTGGACCAGTAGAAAGAAGTATCTCAAAGTCAAAGATGACCAAAAAAAAAAAATTCCTGATCATAGTATTGATCAGGTATTATGCTCACTCAGGTCCACCTTGTGCTACACAGAGACATAGAGAGAGCCTCATGGCAGTGCTCTACAGGGTTTCCAACAGGTGGAAACCATCTGTAAATAAGACCAAGAGCTTAGGAATAATAAGGCAACTTTAAAATGATAAGTTTTGAGCATTTGTTGTTAGTGGTGGGTAAGAGGGAAGTCGAGACACAGCTGCGGTTTGAAGAGATCTTTTCAGAGACGTCTACTGGGTAAAGTGGGATTCTTCAACACAAAAAAGAATTTCAGGATAGGTCAGTATGAAGCAGAGCTTGAGTTTATTAAAAGAAATTTTAGCATAGACTCAAGCACAGGCATTAACAAAATAAGAGGCACACAGGAGAGGATAATAATACACATATAAGGGAGAGGCCATGTATGTGACATCTGAAGTTACATTGTTCAAAAAATTTCTGAATCTCCCCCCCACTCCCCCTTCCCCTCTCCCTCCCTTCCTCTCTGTAAGTAAGATGCAGGATGGTTCCTGAAGCACTCCAGACAGCATTGCAGCTGTCAAGGTAAAGGCTCACAAGAGGATGAACAGGGCAGTTAGGTCACTTTTTAAAAAAAACTACAAATAAAGTTCATAGTTTTGTTCATGAAATTCCCAGAAAATTGCAAATTTATGGCTTTGAAAGGAGTTAAGAGCATACTTCAAGGTCATGTGCATGCAAGCCTTAAACATGGCTCATTGCTATTTTAACATTCTTATTTGAAAATATCTCTATATAAAAGGAATATTGTGTCTTTGTAAACCACCTTCACAGCAAATGTTAACTGTACTGAATTATTGACTCTCAGCTGGTGAGCTACTGGAACCTAACTCATCCCATGTCTCCTTAACTTCCTGTCTTTCTATCCTCATTTATTATTTTCATTTTTAAAACTTAATTTTTGATAAAGTCCATGTTTAGTATCTGGCTCATAAAATCCCTCAGTTGACTCTATTCCACCAACAGAATAGTATTGGCTGTGATTGGAGTTCTAGTTTTGTAACTTTGAATTGAATGGTAAATATTGGAAGGTTATCATATTTTTTTTGGAAGAATGAAGTTCTCCACAGACAAGTCTGGCCTTTGACCTTGGCCCCTGGGGAGTATCTAGAACATTCTGCCTCACAGGAGTCTCTTTGCTGGTGCTTCAGTGCTGGATCATCTAGCGTGGATTAAGGTGGGGTTTGGATCACAGCCAGCATATCATTTCTGATCTCTAGGGAAACTAGAGACAACAAATGTGCTGGAGACCCATTGATGGAAACTCAAAACAAGCCTCTCTGGCATCAGGATTGTTTGGGGCTCAAGGCAATGAGCTCTGGCACCCTTTCTATCCAAAAGCAGGACATCTATGTCCATTTCTAAAGACAGCTATCTCTAACAGACCAGGAAAGGAGCTCCCCGAAGACTAAGGACTGTTAGTGTCACAACAGACCTTACTAAACAATCCCTACCTGCCACATGTTTCCTCCCTTTCTTCCAGAACCTTACCCCTCTCAAAGAACTCCTTCTTTTTCTCTGCTGTAAAGTTATATTAACAGGGGCCAGAGAGGCAGTGCAGCAGTTCAGAGCCTGGGCTTCATTCCTAGCACCCACATGGTGGCTCACAACCAAGTGTAACTCCAGCTCCAAGGGATCAAACACCCTCTTCTGGCCTCCACGAGCACCAGGCACACACATGGTACACAGACATACATGCAGGCAAAACACCCATACACATAAAATAAAATAATCAAAATAACTTTAAAAATAAAGTTGCATATAGGCTCTAAGTTTAACTGCCTTTTTGTGTTACAATCCTTTGGAAGCTCCCATGCAAATATGTGTAATTAAATCTGCTATTTCTCTTATTAATTAGTCTTTCTGTCATTTAATTTGCAGAGTGCTTGGACAATGAACCAAGGAAGGCAGAGGAAGAAAATCTTTCTTCCCTACAGGTGTTAGCTCCAGTCTGGAATGCTGAAGACTGAAGGTCAGCCACACACAGATCGTGTGACACCAAAGCGTCAAGTGAACCTCTGGGTTGGGAGTAATCCCTGCACATTGTCACATAGGAGAGTGGCAGGTACCCAAAGAGCAGCAAGTCCTGGCTCTGTGGGGGAACACAGGAAGCCTGTGTCCATCTCTTCTGGATACCACCCAGTGTGCTTCTTCAATTGGCTGACCTTCATCTGTGCTGCTCCCTGTAATAATCCATGGCTGGGAGTATAACGTTTTCAATGAATTCTGTGAGCACTTCTAGCAAACAGCCAGATGGACCATGATTTTAAAAACTTGCAATTATTGTCCTTAGCACTGTTTCTCTACTTCTAATTTTTTTCTATACTACAAAAATGTGTGTGTGTTTGTAATAGTACTTTTCCATCTGAACCACCAGCCCACAAATAATGACACAGAGACTTTTTATTAATTATAAAAGCTTGGTCGTTAGCTTAGGCCTGTCCTACTAGCTCGTATAACTTAAATTAATCTACTTTTATTAATCTACGTTCTACCACATGACTCACTTATCTCTACTCTACCATATGTCTGGCCTCTTCCATGTCTCCCTGGCATCTCCTGCGTGCCTAGAATCTTCTTCCCTCTCTATTCTTTCTCTGCTAGGAAGTTCCACCTATACCTCCTTCTGAGCTTTTGGCCGTTCAGCTCTTTATTAAATCAATCACAGAAATATATCTTCACACAGTGTACAAATATCTCTCATCATGTGTTCAGTGTGTGCGTGTGCGTGTGTGGGGGGGGCAATATGTGTGCATATGCATGTAATAGTCACAGGTGGACTTTAGCAGTCATTCTCCAGGTCTTGTACAATTTATTTTTTAAGACTGTTCTCACAGGCCTAGGAGTCACCAATTTGGCTAGTCTGGCTGGCCGCTGAGCCCCAGGTACCTGTCTGCCTCTCCCATCCCTAGATTACAGATATTTGTCACAATCTGGCTTATTTTGTGCAGGCTCTAAAGGATCAAATTTTGGTGCTCATGCTCATGAGCCAACTGAGCCATCTCCTGAGCCCAAAACAAAAGGTTTTTAATGGGTACCAACCCAGTCCAGAACAAAGATACCCCCCAAACCTGCAGTGTTAAAATCTGTTCTTTTTCACCACTGAGAGTCTCTAGGAAGAGTTTCAAAAATAAACAAAGCTTAAAAAAGTAAATAAACACCCCCTATGTGGGCTGCTGGGGTGAACATCGAGTTTGAAGAGGAAGCAGCTCAGTTCCAAAGGCTGTTGCACAGAGACTGGACAATGAGAGCCGAGAGTCTGGTCCGTCTACATAAAATATTTATTGCGCTCATCAATATTAAGTAGGTTGTGTCCCAGTCTGTACAGTCAAGCTCTGTTTTAATGTATTAATTTAATGCCACCTCTTTACATTTTATTAAATTACAAAAATGATCTAGTTAAGGAATGATTCCCTTCACAGAGGGTCCCAGGGCCCACTCTGCCCCAACATCACCCTTTAGCAGCTTCAGAGACATCATTTGTGGAGCCTGTGTTAAATGAAGATGAGAGAACCCTTGTTTCAAAGTCGCTGAGTTTACTTCTGTGACCGTATAACTGACCAAGAGACCATTCCAAACATGCAAAGAAAACAATAACTCTATGGCAACGGGTAAGGCTGTCCTTGGTGCCAATATATAGCTAGGACGACCTTGAATGACTGATTTCATGCCTCAACCTGCTAAGTTCTGGGATTACAAGTGTGTGCCACCATGCCTGATTGAACTTGGGGCTCTGTGTATGCTAGATGAGCACTCTCCACACTAAGCCATCCCTGGGTCTTGCAGGTTTACATCATAGCTCACCAGTTAGAATGGTCTAAGCTATGAGCTCAAATCTCCCTTCCCAGGCTGCTGACAGGAGTTTGTAGGAAGAGCAGGGAGAGATGCTGCTTCCTGAGTGGATGATAAGAAGAGAACTTTGCCATACAGTGTCATTGACCAGACAACCTGGCTTCTGTGAATTGTCTGTGAAGGGCCTGGAGGCTTCTCCTGATTGGCAACCCAAGGAATTCCGTCCAGGTATGCCCAAGTCTTAGCCAGTTTCAATGGCAGGCATTCCACCAATAGTGGAAGCCTTTTGAGCACTGAGTCCACTGAATATAGCATTACGATTCCAGACTGTGTACACCCACAAGGCCAGGATTGCTTCAGAGGGAGCCCTATGCACAGAATTTTCCAACTCAATCTTGGGGCATCCAGAATTAATGGGCTTGGGGAACAAAGGATCCGATACGGTTCCCACCATAACTCAGTGTCTGGCTTTCCACCCTTTTATTAAAGGAGATGGAGAGCCCATCACAGGAGTTTATCGCTGCTGAGAAGTGAAGGTTATATCTGGAGATAAACCTCTCCCCTTGGGAAATAACTGTCGGCCATCTTTCCTCACTGTGTTGCCTTATTTCTTGGACTATTTTTCCACATGTGAATGAATCAAAAGAGATGGAAGTGACCTTTCAGATCCACTGTAGCTTATAAGAAATGAAAAATGTCTTTCAGATTCATTTTTGAACATTTTTCTTGTTATTATTTTTTTCTTTACTTCTTTTTATGGTAGTTTTAAATGATTTTAATCTTTACTCATCTCAGATGAGAGCAGAATATTGTGTCTTTTCTGAGTCTTGCCTCATGGTTGGTCTCACAGACTCTATTCTTTCCTGTTTTTCTATGATTTTTGTTTCCTGGTTGTTTGTTTGAGGGAATCAGGGAGGGATTTAGCCAATTGAAAAACTTATTTCAAAGAATGAACATTGCACCTGCCTCTAAGAAACTGCAAATAATGCTGCTCACTGCTGATGCACTGTGCATATGGAAACACCTAGTTATTATTTTTCCTGCTTATGTTCTGCCCAGGATTCAGATAACAGCTACAGAATGGCAGCATCCAGAGTGGTGGTGATGTAAACCCATACCAGAACCTTCTTGTTCTCTGTGCCCATAAAACACCCAGCTAGCTCCAGAGGCATCGTCACAGCCAGATCCACACACCCTATATGGATATAAAGTTAGCACCTAGTACTCTCACATCTATGTACTGTCTGTGTCTGCCATCTACTTCATGCTGAGCTTTAGATGTTATCAGTGTCGTTGGAATAAAGGTATTTCTACTAAAATTTTAAACAGGAATAAGAAGATTCTAATTTGGTATTTTAGAGGCAATTTCCATAATAAGTTTTCTGCTATTAAGTTGCCATATTTCTATGAACAATATACCTAGAAAGTGAGAAACTGCATAAAAATACCATTAAGAACTATTTTTAAAGACATTTCTGCACAAATAAATGCTCTTACAGTTGACTCTGTCTTCCCCACAATTAAAATTTGTTCTTATGGATAAAGATGGATTCCATTTTGTCTCTGTTCCCTTATTGCAGTGAAATTTTGATCCCCCAAGTCTCACACCTGCACAGGAGCTAATTGCTCTCTTCTGTTTCCAGTGTTTTCTGGGCAAGCTGTACAGAGAGCAAGACCTCCTGGCCAGATCGCTGCCAGACAGCACTCTGATCTATAAGAGAAGCTGGAGTGCGCTAGGCGGTGGGGGTGGGGGGAAGACAGCAAGAATTGAGCAAAGCCAGGAGCTTTGAGGACGGCCTGGCTTGCCGCTAGGTGCTCAGAAAGGCAAGCTTTGATGGAAGATTATGATCCTGATAGAAATTCAGTTCCCCGTTTTCTCACTGCTTCTCTCTCTCATTGTCTCTGTCTCTCTGTCACCCTCCTCCCTCCTTCTACATTATTGTGAAATAGAGAACCTACTACAAAGCAGTCCTGAGGTGTCTGCTTCCCAGTCCCAGACCATTCAGTTATTTTTGAATGACAACATGGCTGCCCACCTACCTCAGCTCCCAGGGCCAGGGAGTATGTTCCTCATCCATGAGTCACTAGGCTTCTCTGCTTTTCTTTCTTCCTTCCTTTCTTTCTTTTTTCCTTTCTTTCTTTCTTTCTTTCTTTCTTTCTTTCTTTCTTTCTTTGAAAGTTTGAAGCCAGAATCAATGTATTATCTCACCCTCAAAAAGTGTGTCTGTGTGTGTCTGGGGTGGGAGGTACTTTTTCCTTTCCAACGTATTAGCCTTTACCTTCATGGCTTGAGTTTCAAATGGTCACTTCAGAGGCTTGTTTTCATATCCCCTCAGTTATAAAAGCAGCATATTTCATAACACACTGGCAACACCCTCCACTATTTTTTGTTTGTTTGTTTGTTTGGTTTTTCGAGACAGGGTTTCTCTGTGTAGCTTTGCGCCTCTCCTGGAACTCACTTGGTAGCCCAGGCTGGCCTCAAACTCACAGAGATCCGCCTGGCTCTGCCTCCCGAGTGCTGGGATTAAAGGCGTGCGCCACCACCGCCCGGCAACACCCTCCGCTATTTTATCACTAACTTCTACTCCATTTTTTTCTGCTTAATTTTGAAAATCCTACTAAAGCTGAGTGTATGGTAAAAATAAGCTAGCATAAAATAGGAAGGAATCATTGCCCAATGTCAATTCCATTCCTAGGAATTTCAAGAAAAACTTGGAGCTTTAAAAAAGAAAGTTTATTTTATATATGTTTGCTTGAGTGTATGTTTATGCACCTTGTACATGCAGTGGCCATAGTGGCCAGAAGAGGGCATCGGATCCTGGGAACTGGAGTTAAGGATGATTGATTGTGAGCCACCCTATGGGTGCTGAGGACTGAGCCCAGGTGCTCTGCAAGAATGGCAAGTACTCTTAACCACTGAGCCATCTCTCCAGGCTGGAGCTTTTTATTTATTTATTTTCCTTTGTAATTTCAAATTTACAGCTGACTTCCCTTTGCCACATCCATATTAACTCAAAGGTTGGAAAAAAAAACAGCAGACTAAGACTCTTTGTACCAATCCCTGAAGAAAATGAAAATGCCCTGGGCAAAAACAAAATCAAGAGAGGCTTTCTCTCTCAGAAACAGGTCTAGATAAAGCAGACCAACTCTTCCTCTGAGGATGATAGAAACTCAGATTGAACAATGACGATGACATCTGCCTCGTGACTTCTGACTAACAACAGAGAAATGCCAGGTCAGGGGACAGTGGCTCAAACTCCATGTTTGTGGTCTCTGTTGTACTGGGATGAACAAGAGGCTGAGCCAAGCATGGCCAGTCCCAGACATTCCTCAAAAAGAAGGCAATTTACTTGTGCATTGTGGCATGTTTAAACCATCTTTGCATTACTGTAAAAACTATCTACAATGATCGCTTATGAATCAGAGGTTCACCTTGGTTCTCAGTTTTAGAGAACTGAGTCAGATGTTGTTGAACCACGTTGCTTTAAGGCTGTGATGGAACATCATGGCAGGAGCATACTATAAAATAAAACTTCTTCCTTCATGCTGGGAAGCAAGGAGAGTATAAGGAATCAACCAGGGTTCCACAGTGCTCTCTGAGGACATGCTCCCAGTGACCTACTGACCAGCAAAAGTCAACCAGAGCCATTGCTGCCAAAGCTCCAGTCATACACCCTGAGCTGTCACACAATCTTTCTTGGAAACAGTTGAGAGAAATAACCAAATTTCCCAAAGAGGACCATCTCATCTGTCCTGAGAATGCTGCTCCTCCCCGATGTTCCAAACTCAGCCGGTTTTCCGTCTCCCTTCCCCGCCCAGCGAGGAAAGCAGTATTTCCAGGCCAGTCTGCTTTTCTTGTTCTGTTTCTGAGTAAAATCATTTCTCTTGCTCAGTCCCTTAAACCACTCCATTTTATGGACTGAAGTGGTTTCCATTCTGGAGTCACAAAATCAAGACCTTTTAATTTATCATAATTTTGTATTTTGTTCTGACATAATTGACATAATCTGGGGAGAGAACAAAGTAGGAATTAGTTGTTGGGCTATGATTTACGTTATACAGCGATGTCATCTGTTTCTCAAAATGCACTCCCCCATTTTTTTAAGAATGAGAGGCAACTGAGCCAAAAGGGTTAATCGATACCAACAAACACCTCGTTTTCCTCGGCATTCCTTTTTAAAGAACCACCTAGTAAAACAGTGAATCCATTTTAAAGATAAGACCTGTGTCTTTTTCCTGGAATGATGAATGTAAAGCAACCATGATGTAACTATGAATGAGCTTGGTAAAAGATGCTAAATACAAATTGCCTAAGACAATAAAAATGTTAGCTTTTAACCAATACAACTGATTTATAACTGGAATGCTGGCTTTGCAGGTAGCTTTCTGCTTTTAAGCTTGCCAGCTGTGGTAAACATTTTTCTAAAAGCTAAACCACCAGTGTTGTTTTCATGTGCCCCACAGCAGAGTCAACTGTCTGTACACACGAGCAAGCCAGATAATTGTTAATTGACAGTATGGATTCATGTTTGAATATATTCACAAATGCATAGAAGGAAGGTTTCTGCAAGATTCGTGGCACTTTCTGGAGGCAGGAGGTAAAATTCACCATTTTAATCCTATTAAAATATACATTACACTTCTCTTCAAAGCTTAAAAAGTAGGAAGTATTACATTTATAGAATCTTCTGTTTCTGAGTGAGAGTGACTAAAACCACACCCAGGATGCATGCCACAGAAATCCCTGGGGAAATCCCACGCCCATGGTATGGGCAGGGGCTCAACACTTGGTTCTTAAGCTGGTCTCCAGGTTCCTAGCTGGAGTTGGCATTAACTCTTTATCATTATGAAGTTAGAAGAGGATGCTCACGTTGGTCAGTACTTTACAGAAGTATTTCAGTGCTTTAACAACCTTCCATACAATGTGCACTGACAGCCATCAGCCCCTCACAACCCTTGTTAACTGTCTGGGAGATGGAGGCTAAGCTAATGGACTGCTGGGACTGAGTTCAGGTTAGCCTTTCCTACCTGGATGGTCTTGGTAAGTTTGTGGCATGAGAACAAACTTAGGTAGTTCCTGCAAGGTGCTTAGAGGAGATTCTGACATACACACACACACAAAAAAAAATTCTCTTTTTAACCAGTATTATCTATAAATAGAAGTCATGTTCAATGTTGTGTAGAGCAGAATGTAACAATGCCATAGACTCAACACTTCCAGTCCAATGTTCAAACTGTTTACATGGATGTGCAGACCACAGGCTCAGTACCTCTAGACTTACCCTCAGACACAGCTTACAGGGGTCTGCAGACCATGAAATCACTGGAGATCCAAATGGGGACTCTAACAAAACACTTTGGTTTGGAGTGGTCAACCTTTTGACATTGTAACATGACATTGTCATCTACAAAGACATCATCACTACCCTGAGATGCATGCAGCCTATGGGCCATAGGATGGACACACCCGGTTAGGCTGGACATGAATTAATGCTGTGAACAACAGCCAATACTTTCAATGTAAGCCCTGGTAACTGAGAATTTTAAGACCTTGTCAGGCCAATATCTCCCAACAGATAAATTGTGCTTTGGTGATCATCTGGAAATGTTACAGGTTCTATTTTTTCTTTTTCTCTCTGATAGATTTCCAAAATCTTCATTGACTAAAGGCCAATTATTTATGAGTTCTGTTGTCAGCAATGGCTGGATTCTGCTTGGAGGGCTTGGCCCAAAGCTTTACAACTGACACCTATATCAGATCTTTGCAAGTTCTTATAGGCTGCCTCAGACTTTATCAATGTCCCCTTGTCAGATATCTTCATCTGACTTGAATTCTTACACATATCTTACAAAATCATACAAGTTCACCCAAGATAATTTGGAGTGAAAGTGGCCCCTCTATTAAATGTTCAATGTAACTGATATTGTTCATCTTAGAGATGACTTGGAGTGAAGAGGCATGATAATTTCTAGTATTGAATATTCTGCCCTTTTTTAATTAACAAGAAGAAATTTCTAACCCAAATTCTGACATCCAAATAGCTTCATTAAAGGGTATTTTCCCCAAAGCTATTTGAAAATGAAGAAAAACTTGTGACCTTTTGATTCACTAAACCTTTGTCATTTTCTAACTGCTAACCCAATTCTCTTTTGTGTATGTTCTTCCTGCTAGATGCCATTTTCTCCTGCTTTGATTTTTTTCCAAGTCCCTTTTCCTTTCTCCTCGGACCTCTCATTCTGACATATTCTCTAGCCCTGTGTCCCTCCCCTAAGAACATGTTTTTACAAATGTAAGTCATTCAAGAGAGGAAGAAGAAGCTTTTAAACAAGAGAATTTACCTTCGCCCTGAGAGAAAAGACAAGCATTCCCCAAGAATTTAGATCGATACCAACTGGGAACTTACCATTGTAGCCTCTCTGACTTCAGTCAACCTGACCATAGTGACAGACTCTTCGGATGCCAAAGCATGGCTCCACAATACTGAGCACAGGGAAGGATCTGTC